GGGAGGAACGCATCAATTTGGTAGGTATGCTCCTGGCCAGGAAACTGGATCGAAGAAGACTGAGAAATTGCCCAATATCGGAATGGAAACTGCGGGCTAAAGGCTCATAGCATTGAACGGATGGTCCACATTGACACCACCCACAAGTGATGTGCGAGTGAAACTTCGCAGTGGAACATGTTAAGAACCACGAGAGCGGCTTCTTCGAATCGCTGTAGCCAGGATGTTGAGACAGAAAGGAAACTGTCTGATTTCATCATCTTGTGTAATGTCACTCTTGTTGCGTCAAACGAATTATTGCTTCCTTCAGGTCAATTTGACTCTAGATCACACAGCGATGGTGGTCACGGATGAGGCAGAAGCCTTGACGAACTGATATCTGGTCTGGTGTCGGAAGATATTCCATATTCGAGGTTCCACCCTTGAACTTCTTTGGATTGCTGGGATCAAGCCTTGATTATAAAAGATAAAAGCCAGCAGCAACATGAAGAGGTCGACATGGCAGTGGATCGGGCCCACAGACACGGCATGAAAAGTTGTGTCGAGTAAGAAATCTGCGACGCCAGCTAAGCGCTCGCTCAGTTGGTTCTCTTCTTTCTCCAAAACAGGATCATGCTCCGCGGCTATATCCAGGCCCATAAAATGACAGAAGGCACATAGAAAGGTGTCCTGTGACAGCTCGGAGCGGGAATATTTAAAAATATAGCGGGTGAGAAAAGAAGTAGAGAGACTACCTCGAGCCATGGTCGTTGATTTTGAGGGAAGAGTTAAAAAAAAGTCTTGACGCGAACGAGAGCGAGAAGAATATGGGCAGAAAACTATCCCGCGTTTAACAATGTAAGCATGAATCAATCTCATTCCCTGGTTAGCAGTATATACGCCCCACAGGTTTTCTCTTTTATATACGCCTGTGTAGCGGAATGACGGAACGGCAAATGGATTTTTGTGAGATGGGAAGATCGATTGATTATAAGATGTTCAGATAGTTAACTAGAGAGAAATCGCTCTTCTGTACGCTGCGCAGAATATAAACGGCGTGGAAGTATGCGCTAGACCCAGGGGAGAGCCAGCAGTCTCACACTCTCACTCCGCCATCTGGTTGACAGTATATATGATCTTCTGTCTTGAAGATTCTCTTTGGATATTTGACGGTTGCTTTTCGAATCTCACACATTCAAATCTGAGGGCTTTATGTCGAAAAGAGATGACGAGCAAATATTGAAGGATGAGGATTGGGTGTTTGAAAGCAGTGTCTGAGGGTGTGGGTCATTTATTACTCTCTGCTCGAGCTCTGTGTAGCAAATGTTTGAAGTCTTCTGTCGGCGGACAGTGTGCTGGGGGGTGATAAAATAAGTTCAAACAATGGATTGGCTGCTTGTAGTTATCCACTACTATGCTGGAATGGATGCGTTGTAACAAGTCTCATAGGTTTCATTTGCCATCCCTGCAGCCGTTGTCAAGCCACATAATCAAGTCCGCTTCCTTCACAGCTATGTTGGAGGTGTGTTGGATGATGGACGGGGGCAGGGCTGCTGCTGCTGCTGCTGCTTCTTCTGCTGCTGCTGCTGCTTCTTCTGCTGCTGCTGGCGATTTGCTGCTTGCCGCTGCCCGGGAGGAAGAGCCAGCTAAACGACACTTGCCTTTGCTAGCGCGTCAATTGGCTGCGTAGTTAACTAAGTAGTTAAGCGCCTGGCCAGATCCTGGGCGAACAAAAGCCGCGACCAGAGACTTTGCCCACTCCTGTATCTATGCCTCCGCGAGGGGGAATAATAATGACAAGCAGCACATGTGTATTAAACCTATGCTTAACAGCAATAAATGCCGAAACCGAGGGAGGCATGCCATAAAGCAATCTTGGTTCATCCATCCCATGAACTAGTTACAGAGAAGTCAAAGATCAGTGTCCCTCTGATATACCACGACTCCAGCATTGCAATCCCGGCTTACCCCCTGAAGCGCCATACCAGGGTCCTGATGAAGCCTGTTTTAGTGAGCCCCCACAACCATCTGGAAGCACTCATTGAGCGCAGGGAGCGGGATTGAGAAGGGGTTGGGGGTGAGGGCAGCATGAAGATCATTTGCGCATAAGCCATAGCTAGATTGGCGATAGGTGTATCCCTCTCAACGTGGGTGGGAACAACTAGTTCCTAGCTCCGCTGCGGGTTTGGATGCTCAAGGTTGGCCAAATGTCTCCAACAAAGAAACTGTATCAGAAGAGGCAAGTGGATGGGGGACATCTACTACGCAGCTAGTCGCAGCCGATGTCGTATCCTGGCCGACATTTTTGTGCATTGATGGGAAAGGATCGAATGCCAACCGCGGAAAACCCTACGTAACGGAACGAGTGTGAATCCCACAGGTGGACCAGGAGGGACCCTGGAGAATATAAACCCTTTAACTCAAACCCCTTTTAAACACTGTCGTGCTTTCGTTTGGCCGGTCTCGTTTATACACTGGGTACATTAGTGCTGGAAGCTGCTCCTTGACGGTGGATATTTCGATATAAAATCCTTTTTGATGCTCTCCTGCACTGTCAGGCTGGAACCCGTCAGCCTGACTATCCTCTTCAAGAAGTCCTCTTCACGTTGATCAATGGAAGACACCAACGGACAGATAATTCCCGTTAGCAGGAGCAGAAGCTGCTTTTTTTTTTTTGCTTCCTCAGAATGGCATTTTCGCTAACCCGCAAGGCTAGATTGGCATGATATTCCCCTCAAAACAAGTATTCTCAGAATGCTGGCCCAGCTGTCATCCAGGGTCTTCCTAGGTGAGAAAATACGTCGCAACCCATTTCCTACACTGTCGATTCGTTTATCGCTGCTAGGCCCTTCCGTCCAGTGGCTCGCGCTGAAGCGCCGGCTGGTAGCCAACTCCCTGCCATCGTGCTGTAAACTCCGACTGGAGATTGAGCAAGCAAGAGCTATCATAAACCCAGTCCTTGAAGAAAGACGCATGGCAAAATTAGCCGCAGTTCGTGCTGGGCTCGGAAACAGCCAGAACGATATATGGATGCGATGCAGTGGCTGGAGCAATCTTGCAGAGGCCGCGACTATGATCCTGTTGTAGCGCACGCCGCTATTCACACTACATCTGACATGCTCTCGCAAGTTCTCCTTGACCTATAGTGAACGTGAGGAGATTGTTCAGGAGCCTCGCAATGAGATTGTAACGGTTATTCAGTCACAGGGTTGGCAGCGAACTACGTTATACAAGCTAAAGCTGGTTAAGGACGCTCCCAAAAATTGCGGCAACCCCCCCTTTTTATCATCTCGTCCCCAAAGCATTAACTCAAATTAAATATAACGCCCTTAAAACAGGCTTAATGGGACGACTTGCAGAAGAAGACATCGAACTACCCGATAAAACAATCGTGCCTAAAGGGCTCGATGGTGATTTGTCGCCTGTAACAAATATGTGGGATTCAAACATCTATCCGAAAAGAACCCGATCACTTTTGACTGGTACCGGTTCTTGAAGCTCCGGCAAGACGCCTGGCCATGAGACGTCCGCACAGGCAGTGTCACCTTCCCCAGAAAGAACACTTGGGATTCCGAATGGATTCGGGAAACATGCCTGCCCGGGACGCTTCTTTGCAGCCAATGAGGTCAAGCATGCTCTGTGCCATATCCTGCTCAAGTATGATTTTCGGTTCGCTGAGGGTTATAAGCTGAGGATGTGGAGAAATGGGTTTTCGTTAAGCTCTGTTCCTATGGCAAAAGATCTTCATCAGAAGGCGGCAGGAGATACCTTCCTTTCTGATTCTTTTTTGGTTTTGATTTTGGCTTTTCCTTTTTGCCTTTTGCTTTTTAACTTTTGCTTTGGCTTTCTTTAGCTCTGGCTTTATTGGTTGATTTGGCTGGCAATGCATGCACGTGACTTATGGAAGTGGCCAGAGAAAGAATTAGTGCTTTTGTTCTGAGATAATCTTTTGCATCTCATTCATTTCTATTCTATTTTATTTCACTGTAATTTGAATATCTACTTTGAGAAGGGCAGCTGATAATTAATGCATGAGGTTGAACGATTAAAAAGACCGAATGAATCTGGCAACTAAACCCTCCGAGCAACGGCCGGAATGAAAGGCCCATGATTAGCCAGCTGCTAACCTGTAACAATCATCGTTGGCGACTAAATATTTTGATTTGAAATATTTTGAAATGTCGGATTGCATCCTAAGCTATTATGCAGTTGTCATATCAGAAATGGGGGTGGCAATAGCCAAAAAATATAAGAACTTCAAACCCTGTTTTATTAGTCGTTGAATTGTAACAAGTAGACTGACAAAACAACAAAAGCTTGGGGTATAGATAGAGATGGGGATGCTGTCGGCTTATGATTCGACTTCAGCCTTGCCAGAAAGTGTAATGTTTGAAATCGTGATGGGTTGAATATCCACCAAGAACTCACATCCGACGATAGCTTTTTTATTTTTAAAAATAAAAGAGAAGGAAAAAGAAAAAAAAAAAAAAAAAACACAGCTGATGATCGAACAGTCTCTGGAGTCACATTATCCCTTGAATGTGTGTGAGATTTTGTTATGGATCAGATGACCCCCTCTGGGATTGAAAAATGCCATGTTTGTAGTCTTAACAACTTCATCTCCCGAACCATGTAGTCGTCATCCATGGAAATTTTACTTCCTTGTGCACTTCAACGGATCTATTTACAAACAGGGTTAAGTTAAGAAATCAGAGTTTGCGGGGAGTTACATTCCAGAGATCATCAGCTTTTTCTTGTTAATTTTGTTAATTATTTTTTTTTTTATCTGGCGGCCTGAAGCTATTGAACACGTTGGGGGGGGTTGGAGTATTTAACTGCATGCAAGCAGGGTTGGGCGGGCCCTTCCAGTGCAGGTGTTGGTTCATATGCAAGTTGATAAGGCCTCACCGGTTTGAGCCATGTTTTCATATGGAAGAATGCCTATCGTCTTCGAGGACGGAAATATTGCGTATTTGAATATTCATGATACCCATTGGGAATGGATCAACAACGAGATGGCGGAAATTTCTCACTCTCACTGAGCGCAATTACCTATCAAACTGGAACTGGAACTGGAACTGGAACTGGAACTGGCAACAATCGAGTTGTTGATGACCAGTGTTGCTTCTTCTATTTTAATCACATCCTCCCTCTCCCCGGGGGTAGATTCCTAGGGTTTCCAAATTTCTTCAAGAACCTGATGCCTTGTGAATTCAAAGGACATTTTTCCAGATAGTTACATGACACTTGCTAGTTGAGTCGTGCAGACATCGTACTCCTGCACGATGTCGAACTATGGTTAGAATTGCGCGAGAAGGTCCACTCTTTTGTCATGTTGCTGGGATGGACCAATAAATAAATAAATAAACAAATAAAAATTAAAAATAATAACCTTCCAGATCGAGCTGTGGGGAAAGAATGGAGAGGTCCATGCTCGAAACTCTGCAGCGTGCCCTGATTGCAGGTTGGACCATGAACACGGCCAGCTGTCAGGTAAAACCCATTTAAAAACCAACAGCTATTCAAAAACTAAGCATAGTTCTCATATGACAATAAAACACCTTCTTCCACCATTGCTGTCATGCGCGGCCCAACCCTTTTGAACCAACGTTTTGGCAGCAAAGAAACACATATATATTCTCAATCACCAAGCTTCACCGGCTGCTTGGCTCCATGGATTCAGGAAATGGGAATTTTGTGTTTTTGCTGACCCAGGAAGACCAGATAGCCTGACGCACAAAGGCGAAAAAGGAATTAGCTGACCAAATTCTGATACAGCCGCTGCGTGCCATTTCCCCAACTTGTCAATAACGCGGGCAGTTTCTTGTCATTCTGCCTCACCTCAATATTACCCGCCCCGCCCCGCCCCGCCCCGCCCCCCCCCCTTCTCTCCTCCCCCCCGGAAATCCAGCGAAGGCGATTGTTTGGTAAACACCGCTGCCCCACCCGCTAGAAAGAAGCTAAATGGGAAGAACCCATGAAGGTTCGTCTGAGATATAGGACCTTGGTGGAAGAACTGAGATCGTCGAAACGTAGCGGGCCGAACCGCCCTTCCCGGCTCCTTTTTTAAAGTTTTTTTTTTTTTTTTTTTTTCTTTCTTTCTTTCTTTTCCAAATGTGTTCCATGCTTAGACGTTGTGAAGGTTCTCCACGTCCTTCAGGGCGCGCGAGAGACGAGAGTAGCTGCATGGCTGAGAGAAGAGGGAGACCGACGACGGCTGGTTGAAGGGAAGGACCTTGGGGTTAACTTCACGTAACAAGAGGGAAGATTGATGATAAACCCACCTATATTACCTAAGCTAAGCTAGTCCATTAGTTCGCAGGCCGTTTAGTTGGGGAAACCTCGGCCTTATCAGATCGCGCTAAACCCCATTTGGTAGGCGAGGGTTGCGGGCAATTTTTCCCTCGCCCCCCAACATGAGAGAGAGAGAAATCAGTTTGTCGAGGTGTCTGTATGTTATCTACAACAACAGGCTGCATTCTCCACCCGTCCGAAAAGCAATGCACTCCGCTGCGGACTGCCGAACTTCCCGTCGTACGATAAAAGCCCGAGTCGAGGAATCAAGATTTCAGCTCTTCCCAAGTGGGCCCGTCTCGCCCCCCTGATGTAATACATCGGAGCCAACTGACCAACTAGTCTCAGCCACGCCCTTTCGGTTAGCATGGAATGATGCCATGATCTAGAGGGATGTCCAGTTAGAGTTTGCCGAATATGGGGTTCGGCCATTGGAAACATCCCCACATTGTTTTTCTGTCCATGGAATATGGCATGGATGTCCTTCCTGAGAATCGTTCGTGGGGTTTTTTGATGATAACCCAGGCGGGGATGGCTTATGGGTACGTTTGGAAGCCTGCCAATCATCATCGATTAATGTCGGTTCGGAGCTTGCAATTTTATGCTTCCCTTGCCAGCCGCAGCCACTACAACAGGTCGCAGTGGTCTGACGCACCAAGGGATGCTGGAAGGAAGGAGGGGGTTCCGCGTCTCAATTATAGAGAGCAATCATCAAATTGCTGCGATATAAAAAGGCCATCTATGTTCCCTGATATCAAATCCCTGTTTACCCATATCCATATACCTCCTGATCCACTCCATCCCGGTCAATACATACATACATATATATCTCTCTATATGCATCTATATATATGTTTATATACATAGCGCCACCTCTCCCTTAGCAAAACAACAAACCACCCAATCATTTCATCCAACGTCAAAACCCAAGTAATCAGAAATGGCACCTCAAATCCCCATTCCCGAAAAGCAATGGGCCCAAGTGGCTGACAAAGTCGGCGGGCCGGTGCAATATCGACAAATCGCCGTCCCAAAGCCGGGCGCCGATGAAGTCCTCGTAAACATAAAATACTCGGGCGTCTGCCACACCGACCTTCACGCGATGAAGGGTGACTGGCCCCTGGATGTGAAAATGCCCCTGGTGGGTGGACACGAAGGGGCTGGTGTCGTCGTCGCCCGCGGACAGCTGGTCACCGACGTCGAAATCGGTGACCATGTCGGCATCAAATGGATCAACGGGTCATGTCTGTCGTGCGACTTCTGCGAGAGTGCAAACGAGCCCCTGTGCCAGAAGGCGATCCTTTCGGGTTACACGGTGGACGGGACGTTCCAGCAGTACTGTATTGGGAAGGCGGCACATGTCACTCCCATTCCAAAGAACGTGCCGCTGGATCAGATAGCGCCCATTCTCTGTGCCGGAGTGACTGTTTATAAAGCGCTGAAGGAAAGCAAAGCAGCTCCCGGCCAGGCGGTGGCGATTGTCGGGGCCGGGGGTGGGCTGGGATCGCTGGCACAGCAGTACGCTAAGGCAATGGGGTTGCAGATTATTGCCGTTGATGCGGGTAATGAGAAGAGAGAGCTGTGTATGAAGATGGGTGCGAAGGTGGGTTCTCCTCGTTTTTCCCCTTTGTTATTATGATGTGGCATCATCGTGCCGCGCTTTCCCCCCCCCCCCCCCTGTGCACTGCTGTCATGTTTTCATTATTTCTTATTGTATATAGGGTGCTCTATTCGGAGACTTTATTATCTATTTATACACTGCATCAAGTGCCCGGGAACAACTGGCTACTATCCTTTGTCTACTCTTGGCTTGATATTACGGTTGTAGGAGAGGGGGGAACCAGCAGCTGTCAGGTGTAGGAGATGAAGACCTAATTTGGCATAAGGG